CTTATGCTACCGCGCCACAGGGCAGTATTATACAAGATACTCCCATAAGCTGTACAGCTAAGCTGCCCCTCACAGGGTATTTCTACATGCTCAATGAAAAATGATACACCTATCTTACTCCTTTGACAAGGAAAGTTATATATTTGCCTTGTCAAAACTTTATATAAATAGTTTATTAAATTTAGAAAGTTTATATAACTTTTAGAAAGATAACTTTTATAACTTTGTATATAACTTTTAGAAAGTTGTATAAACGAAATATTACCAAAAAAACATCAAACCCGACCTTGGATACACAGAATTTCATAATGATTCTATTGTTTACAGCTGGTGGCTTGTTGACAGCTGAGTACACACTCGTGGCTTGTTGACAGCTGAGTACACACTGGTGGCTTGTTGACAGTTGAGTACACACTGGTGGCTTGTTGACAGCTGAGTACACACTGGTGCCTTGTTGACAGCTGAGTACACACTGGTGGCTTGTTGACAGCTGAGTACACACTGGTGGCTTGTTGACAGTTGAGTACACACTGGTGGCTTGTTGACAGCCGAGAGTACACACTGGTGCCTTGTTGACAGCCGAGAGTGCACTGGTAACGCTGACCAACCGGTCCTCAGACAAGACTAGTGCAAGCGGCGGCCGACCCCACAGTCGTATTCACAAATTTTTACCTAACTGCGTACTCAAAATATAAATTAACATTCCCACATTTCTGTTTTCTGTAAAATCCAAGATAGATCAGGCGTCTACGTTCCATTAGCATCTGTTTGTATCCGGAGCACGTGGGTGAGAGATTGAGCCTCGATTCGAACGCGGGAGGAGAGTGAGGCATCGCTCGAAAAAAGTTCGAACGCCCTGAGTTGTGAGTCGTTTGTATGTAGAATGTTCTTAGCTTATAAACAGGCGGTTTGGCGGGTGGATTAGCGTTCACTTGACCTTTGTTAATGACATGTTGTGTTGAGAGGTTAGAGAGAGCTTACAGTGTTGTGTTGAGGGATTTAGCTTCAAGGGTTGAAAGCTGATGACAGACGCATCAGGCGGCGTCGGCGCATCAGGCGCATCAGGCGCATCAGGCGCAGTCACACTGGCTTGTGGTGGAGATTAGCGACAGGTAATTGTTGGTCAACAATGAGGTAATTGTGATCTAAGAGTTTAATTAAAGCCTCGTTCCAAGGGCATACTACACGCTGCAGTCACTGGGAGTCAAGATGCTTGCCACTAAGCTCTTCGGATCTCGCCAAATACACTCTTCCCTGGAAACACAAACTGAAACTGTCTCTATTTTCCGCTTGTTACAACTTGCAATAAAGTTGTTGCATCTTGGCTTAACGTGTTTATGACGTATTAGAACGTTGTTACAACTTGCTATATTGGTTGTTATAACTGGTTAGGTGTTAAAACTTGTTCGAACGTTGTACCAACGTCGTAGTTTCGCTGTGTGTTTGGCGGGTTGGGACGGCTTTAGAGTCACTCGTGTGTGTGTGTGTGTAATTACCTAAGTGTAATTACCTAAGTGTAGTTACAGGATGAGAGCTACGCTCGTGGTGTCCCGTCTTCCCAGCACTCTTTGTCATATAAAAAAACCGTAGTTACGATCTACGGACCTCTGGGTTATGGGCCCAGCACGCTTCCACTGCGCTTACACTGTGTGTGTGTGTACTCACCTAGTTGTGTTTGCGGGGGTTGAGCTCTGGCTCTTTGGTCCCGCCTCTCAACCGTCAATCAACTGGTGTACAGATTCCTGAGCCTATCGGGCTCTGTCATATCTACACTTGAAACTGTGTATGGAGTCAGCCTCCACCACATCACTTCCTAATGCATTCCATTTGTCAACCACTCTGACACTAAAAAAGTTCTTTCTAATATCTCTGTGGCTCATTTGGGCACTCAGTTTCCACCTGTGTCCCCTTGTTCGTGTGCCCCGTGTGTTAAATAGACTGTGTGTGTGTGTGTGTGTGTGTGTGTGTGTGTGTGTGTAACTGAACAAGGCTGTTGTTATTGTTTGTTGTTTGAGATTCAGCTACTGGGAACAAAAAGATCCAAGCAGCACGGGCTATGGTGAGCCCGTAGTGGACTTACCTGGCACGGGAGCGGGGCTGTAACTGAATAATACAGGGTGATGCCCGAGTTATTAATAATGAATTTAGTGAATATTTTGCAAGAACCTATCTTGTAGAATATGATGTAATACACATACACATATCCTGAAGTGTTTCCTCATTAGATTATGAAGTTCAGTTTAGATTAGATTATGAAGTTCAGCTTTGGTCGCCGTATTATAGAATGGATAAAAATTCACTGGAAAACGTCCAGCTAAGGATGACAAAGTTAATCCCGCAAATTAGAAACTTGTCATATGAAGAAAGACTGACAAAGCTTAAATTGCATACTCTAGAAAAAGACAAGAATTAAGGGTGACATGATAGAGGTGTACAAGTGGATGACTGGGCATAACAAAGGGGATATTAATAGGGTATTAAAAGTATCAACAGAAAACGCAATAATGGGTATAAATTGGATAAGTTTAGATTTAGGAAAGACCTGAGTAAATACTGGTTCGGTAATAGGGTTGTTGATTTGTGGAACCAATTACCGTGTAACATAATAGAGGTATGATCCTTTGATTGTTTCAAGCATACGTTAGACATATATATATGAATGTGATTGGGTGGATATACATAGGAGCTGCCTCGAATGAGCCAATAAGTCCTCTGCTGTTACTTTCATTCATATGTAATGTTGCTGTAATTGGCTGTGAAGGGTTTAGGGACTACCTAGCAGGCACCATCATAATGGGAAAACCAAAGAGTGTGGTAGTAATAGCAGTGATATACAGCCCAGTAGGCTCAGGAACCTGTACACCAGTTGATTGACAGTTGAGAGGCGGGACCAAAGAGCCAGAGCTCAACCCCCGCAAGCACAATTACGTGAGTACAGCCCTCCACTAACGAGACAGGAATACGGCATAAACATGTTGATTATTACCATAATAGAAAAATCAGTTTTTGTCGCCTGTAGGATTCGATCCCAACTGGTATTCTTGGAAGATTTCAACCATGGAAATATAGACTGGGAGAAGTAACAAAAAAGTTATGGGCTGGCACAGAAACATGGAGAGCTAAACTATTGGACGTGACAACTAGAAACTTTTTAAGCCAGCACGTCTTATGATCGACAAGAATGAGAGGTGACGACGAACTAGCTAAGGCCCTCTCCCCTCTCCTGTGGTAATGAGTGACCTCCCCCTGTGATAATGAGTGACCTCCCCTGTCGTAATGAGTGACCTCCCCTGTGATAATGAGTGACCTCCCCTGTCGTAATGAGTGACCTCCCCTGTCGTAATGAGTGACCTCCCCCTGTGATAATGAGTGACCTCCCCCTGTGATAATGAGTGACCTCCCCTGTCGTAATGAGTGACCTCCCCTGTCGTAATGAGTGACCTCCCCTGTCGTAATGAGTGACCTCCCCCTGTGATAATGAGTGACCTCCCCTGTCGTAATGAGTGACCTCCCCCTGTGATAATGAGTGACCTCCCCCTGTGATAATGAGTGACCTCCCCTGTCGTAATGAGTGACCTCCCCCTGTGATAATGAGTGACCTCCCCTGTCGTAATGAGTGACCTCCCCCTGTGATAATGAGTGACCTCCCCTGTCGTAATGAGTGACCTCCCCTGTCGTAATGAGTGACCTCCCCCTGTGATAATGAGTGACCTCCCCTGTCGTAATGAGTGACCTCCCCTGTCGTAATGAGTGACCTCCCCCTGTGGTAATGAGTGACCTCCCCCTGTGATAATGAGTGACCTCCCCTGTCGTAATGAGTGACCTCCCCTGTCGTAATGAGTGACCTCCCCTGTCGTAATGAGTGACCTCCCCCTGTGATAATGAGTGACCACAGTGTACTCACACCTGAGTATCTGGTACCAGGTAGGTATAGCTTACTCAAGGAAGGGGGGGGGGGCGCAGAAAGCACAAGTCTACCATACAGAAGGGGAAATTATGAAGATATAAAAGGCATTCACAACAGAGCACACGTAGCATTGTAACATAACTTTAGGAACAGGTTGTGCACGACATGTTGGACTAACTCGCCCAAAAGCGTCAGTTGCCGTCATAACAGTTTGGTGCCAGGTGCTGAGACTGGCTTAGTGCCAAGTGCTGAGACTGGCTTAGTGCTAGGTGCTGAGACTGGCTTAGTGCTAGGTGCTGAGACTGGCTTAGTGCCAGGTGCTGAGAATGGCTTAGTGCTAGGTGCTGAGACTGGCTTAGTGCCAGGTGCTGAGACTGGCACTAGGCCGGGTAGGAGGACTGGCACTAGGCTATGCACTAGGCTAGGTGCTGGGATATTACCAGGTACGGGGACTAACACCAGCTATGTACTAAGCAAGATGCTGGGACTGGTACTAGGTTACTGAGAGGGAGACGACCCAGTTATTACCAGAAGTTTACCACAAAGTTTATGGTTTACACTTTACCAGAGTATTTTCAACCTTGTATTAGGCTTACCCCGACGTCACTCAAGACGGAATAATTACCGATATCAAATATAATATCCCGTAAATATGTACCAAATATGTATCTATTATATATGTAAATATATAAATATAAATATGTAAATATATAACAAATATGTATCTGGTTATCGCTAAATTATCTGCTGCAGCAGACGTGGAGAGATAGAGAGAGAGAGAGAGAGAGAGAGAGAGAGAGAGAGAGAGAGAGAGAGAGAGAGAGAGAGAGAGAGAGAGAGAGAGAGAGAGAGAGAGAGAGAGACAGAGACAGAGACAGAGAGACAGAGACAGAGACAGAGACAGAGACAGAGACAGAGACAGAGACAGAGAGAGAGAGAGAGAGAAAGAGAGAGAGAGAGAGAGCTCACCTCCAGATGGTGTGGACTTTCTGGGCCCAAGAGGCTTCCAGTCTCTCCTCTGGAACAGAGAGTTGGGGCGTCCGGCGCTAGTCTGGTCTCCACCCCACCGTTGTTCACCTCCACCACGCTGTACCTGCACCAGGAGAGGAAATGGAGGGACGGAATAGACAAGGTACCTCATTAGTAGGCTTCAAGCAACCTCCTCCAACCCCCTCACACAACCTGCAGGGGGCCGCTGCAAGCAACAGCCTGGTGGAGCAAGTTAGCATTAGACAAGCCTGGCCCTTCCCAGATCTAACTTGAAGGGCAACACAACTCTTGAAACCAACTACAGGTAAACCACCAGATTCACTGGTCAAATTTCCAGACATATTAGTTTATAGCTATGATCGACACTCAATACAGAATATATTATGCTATCAGCTAGAAAAAACACATTATATATGGCATTCAAAAAATAACTTACTCGTAAGGAACTAAATTGTTCCTAGTTTCCTATTTCCCAGCATTACCTATTTACCTATTTCCAGTCTTTACCTATAGGGCCATTTAACCCCTTATCTCAGCTTGGCATAGCAGTAATTTTATTTATACATACATATATACACAAGCAGATACAGTAGGTTGTATGTGCGTATGTACACATACATGTACAATGGGTTTAAGAGCTTGGATGATGGATGTGCTCAGAGTGAAAGCGACAATAACACACAATCTCAGGCAAAATGATTCTTTTTATTTTATATAGTCCCGCCCTCAGTAGTTTCAGCATTATAACACAATGGTATTTCTAATTTGAGACGGAATAATTCGACATGTCTTGTGAAAGGCAGGCGCAGGAGAGCCGCAGGGGAGCCCCAGAGGGCAGACACAGACACACACAGGGCAGACACAGGGGAAGCCAAAGGGCAGACACACACACACACAGGGCAGACACAGACACACAGGGGAAACCAAAGGGCAGACACAGACACATACAGGGCAGACACAGACACACAGGGCAGACACTGGGGAAGCCAAAGGGCAGACACAGGGGCAGACACAGACACACACAGGGCAGACACAGACACACAGGGCAGACACAGACACACAGGGCAGACACAGACACACACAGGGCAGACACAGACACACACAGGGCAGACACAGACACACAGGGCAGACACAGACACACACAGGGCAGACACAGACACACACAGGGCAGACACAGACACACAGGGCAGACACAGACACACAGGGCAGACACAGACACACACAGGGCAGACACAGACACACACAGGGCAGACACAGACACACAGGGCAGACACAGGGGAAGCCAAAGGGCAGACACAGGGGCAGACACAGACACACACAGGGCAGACACAGACACACACAGGGCAGACACAGGGGCAGACACAGACACACAGGACAGACACAGACACACAGGGCAGACACAGACACACACAGGGCTACCTACCTTGAGGCTACCTTGAGGTGCTTCCGGGGCTTAGTGTCCCCGCGAGCCCGGGCAATACAGGCATACGTAACAACCCTGTGTTAGACACAGGGCAGACACAGACACACACAGGGCAGACACAGGGGCAGACACAGACACACAGGGCAGACACAGACACACACAGGGCAGACACAGACACACACAGGGCAGACACAGACACACACAGGGCAGACACAGGGGCAGACACAGACACACAGGGCAGACACAGACACACACAGGGCAGACACAGACACACACAGGGCAGACACAGACACACAGGGCAGACACAGACACACAGGGCAGACACAGACACACACAGGGCAGACACAGACACACACAGGGCAGACACAGACACACACAGGGCAGACACAGGGGCAGACACAGACACACACAGGGCAGACACAGACACACACAGGGCAGACACAGGGGCAGACACAGACACACACAGGGCAGACACAGGGGCAGACACAGACACAGGGGCAGACACAGACACAGGGGCAGACACAGACACAGGGGCAGACACAGACACACACAGGGCAGACACAGGGGCAGACACAGACACACACAGGGCAGGGGTGGTGGCTGTTCAATTCACCTTCATCGTCGTCTCGTTTTTAGCGAGAAAAAAACAGGGCGAAAAGCAATTACGTGACGGAGATTGAATATCGCGCCGCAGTGGTGTGGCTTCACGTTAGTGTTTTGTTTTTATCCCCCCCGCCTCCCCTCCCCTACACTACTGAACCCCCCCTCACACCACTCCCCCCTCCCTCCGACCCTCCAACCCCCCCCCCCATTGATTTATCCTTTTTTACTGCTGTCCAAGTCAAGCATCCGTGCGGAGGACGTTCGATTCATCTGAGTTTATCTATTGTCACGAGTCAGAGTGTTTGAGCTGCCACTAGTCTGTCTCTGGGTGTTGACCAGACCACACACTAGAAATTGAAGAGACGACGACGTTTCGGTCCGTCCTGGACCATTCTCAAGTCGATTGTCACATACTTCAGCCACGTTATTGTGACTCATCGCCTGCTGTCTCTGGGTCTATGGGAGAGAGGAAGTTGCCACTAATATCTTTGGATAGAGGGAGGTCCATGGGGGACGCTCTACACGTGACCTTTGGGTCCATAGGTCGCCTGTATATTGTGTCAACTGTTGGAAAGTTTGAGAGACTGATCAACACTAATACTAGTTACTTCCGTGTGGATCAAGCTCAAGGTGGAAGCTGTGTCGGCCGAGTGGACAGCACGCGGGACTTGTGATCCTGTGGTCCCGGGTTCGATCCCAGGCGCCGGCGAGAAACAATGGGCAGAGTTTCTTTCACCCTATGCCCCTGTTACCTAGCAGTAAAATAGGTACCTGGGTGTTAGTCAGCTGTCACGGGCTGCTTCCTAGGGGTGGAGGCCTGGTCGAGGACCGGGCCGCGGGGACACTAAAGCCCCGAAATCATCTCAAGATAACCTGAACCCCTTGTGTCGTTAATTATACCCGGAACACCTCCATATTTTGATTGTATAAAAATATCAACAAAAATCTCTCACTAGACGCAACCAACGTGTGTATTTATGAGGTGCCGATATTCTATAGATCAAATCGTTATGCTTTCTTTTAGGTCGTCTGCTCTTTGAAATCTATTTGTAAATGAAACCGAGCATTTGACATCTTTTAAAGTCACACTGGTACCTAGTAGGACTGATAATTATGATTGTTTCAGTCTGGCGAAGGGAGTACGAGGACATACTGGCCCCTCCACTGAGGTCAACAATCGACAGTCTGCACTAACAAGAGCTGCTAAACACCCACTAAACACACACTAACATACCACACTATCCAGGAGCTCCACGAATCTCTGAACATCAGACCTCGACAGCAAGCCACCAGGGTGTCGAATACCGTCGAAATGTTCCAAGACCCACTTCTAGAAAGATTACTTCAAGACGTGACAGCTTCTTCTCCATATTAACCTACCTAGGCTTTGCGCCCTGGAGAGGCCACTCCAGACCGACAACCAGAGCGCAAGGGCCTGGTGGACCAAACTCTCACAAGTCGAGCCTGGCCTCGGGCCGGGCTTGGGGAGTAGAAGAACTCCCAGAACCCCATCAACCAGGTAACCAGGTATCAACCAGGCAACTCCATAGTCTCCTGAGACTGATGGATGTCTTCTACTACTACTTCTACAAGATGAAATGCTCTACAGCCAGAGCTATTGGTCCAAGACCTACGATCCACTCAAGGACAAACCTAGACCTACTCTACATAATTACAAGCTTAAATCCAGACTTGGAAACAACTCCCCATGAAAAAATATGTGGTCGTGGAAAGAGCATCAGGAAAACATGCGCATAAGAATCTGGATGTACATATGTTCATGCTACACATTATTCATCAATAAACATACACATTGTATATGTTGAAATACATGTGAATAACCTTACTCACACTTGAAGCTCCCTGACAAGAGAGAGCAAGCTTAGCTTAGCTGCCAAACACACATACACACAATCGTGTCAGCAAGGCGGGCAGCTCACCTGCTATCATGATATCGTGTCATCCAGCAATCATAACTCGCATTATATCGAGAGGGTTTGTGATCAAGGCATGAAAAGGGTTCAAAAAGGGGCCAGAAAGGTGTATTAGGGAAGGACACAGAAAGGAGCTAAGTGGAATGGAAAGCGAGGGATTGTGAACGTGACAGAGAAAAGTTGAGGGGAAGCCATGGGAAGGAGTAAAAATAGAGGGGATCGGGTGTGGGAGGTCAATGGAAGAGGGCAGAGAGAGAGAGAGAGAGAGAGAGATGGGATGCAGGGAGGGAAAGGAGAGAGATGGAGAGGAGTGATTAAACCCGTTATGGCACTTTTAACGTAGCTAGCGCTTAATTTCAGCCATCAGGGAACAATGGCTAATCAGTACACAGGTGTTTTCCCCTCCACCAGCGAGGCCGGCCAGCCAACAGCAGCACACTCCCTGATACTTCATGTTCCTACTACAGCTGCTACCATGCAACCAGTGTTGCAGGCCTCCAGTGGTGCTACCATGCAACCAGTGTTGCAGGCCTCCAGTGGTGCTACCATGCAACCAGTGTTGCAGGCCTCCAGTGGTGCTACCATGCAACCAGTGTTGCAGGCCTCCAGTGGTGCTACCATGCAACCAGTATTGCAGGCCTCCAGTGGTGCTACCATGCAACCAGTGTTGCAGGCCTCCAGTGGTGCTACCATGCAACCAGTGTTGCAGGCCTCCAGTGGTGCTACCATGCAACCAGTGTTGCAGGCCTCCAGTGGTGCTATCATGCAACCAGTGGTGCAGGCCGCCAGTGGTGCTACCATGCAACCAGTGTTGCAGTCCTCCAGTGGTGCTACCATGCAACCAGTACCATATTGCAAACCCCCCCAGTGACACGACCATGTAAATAATACCATATATATGTGCGTATACACATGTCTTCATCCCTGTGACCATGTGTGGGGTGTAACACATATGTTTGGTGCTAAATGTTCTCATAATTACACCCACTTGAATGTGCCGTTCCACGAATTGTTGAACCCGAGTTGGCGTCACGCGTGTCTAGGCGGGAAGAGGAGGTATAGCGACTCGCTGAAGTGTACTGGTATCCTTTACAGTACACAGTTTACACTCAAGTGTTCGATGTGGCTATACAGATGTTCAGT